CTGAACATAAAACATTTATGTATTACTACTTAAGCAGTTAAGTCTTAGTTATTATTTATTAACTTAGTTACATTCACAATGACAAGACTACACTTGCAAACAAAAATCTTTAGCAGCAAAATCACGATTACAGTTTAATTAATTTTACTTATTAGCATTATATATCCACTGATTGTCACAACAAGTCGCAGCATTATGAACAAACAGACAAACACAGTTGAGGCTTAGGAGAGGAGGACGGGATTACCTTCTCGGATTGGAGTTTTATGTGAACTGTCGAGTACCCAATGACAGTAGACTGACCCTCACTGCTCACTGAAGTGATCACTGACTCTGTTCCACTTCAGTTCTCGAAACCAGATCCAAAGTTCCAAACGACCGAGAGTCCGAGACCAACCTAGCCCAAACAAGAGTGAACAATTACAACGAACACAAAGCAAGTTAGAACTTAGAACTGCAATTTAATGCATGCATGTCTGTATTGACACCACTAACCCATAAATTCATAAAAAGTATAGACGAGATCAAGAAACTTACCCTCGATGACTGGACTTTGTCTGGAGGCTCGGCTAAATCCCTCGATCTCTGCTCTCTCACTCTCTGTGGGCTCGACTAGGGTTTTCTTGTTCTCGATTTCAGAAGATGGCGTGGTGAGAAACGACCCCTCCGCTCTGAATCCCCCCATATATACCAGTACAAGAAGAGTTAGTATAGAGTTGGGGGAATGAGGAATCAGGGAAGATACTTGAAAGAAAAGATAAGAAACCCAGAATTAACTTATCTTTTCTCGAAGAATCAGCGATTTGAACTTCGAACGACTCATTTTTGGACTGCGGCCGATGAAATCTTCGTCGGATGGTTGCTCTTTGCCTCTTCCAGCCATGCAATTGGTCGAATAGAGGAATTGATGAGGGGAAATGGCGAAAACTCGGCCAGATCGCGATTATCTAGCGATCTGATCGCTAATCGCTACAGAGGAGGCAGAGAGATTGAGAGAAAGAAGGAAACTAGGGTTTCAGTTTTTTGGTGAAGAATGAAATCTGAGGCGGCTGCTAGGGTTTCTCAAGGGAAAGCTGAGAATATATATAGCCCTCCAAACGGAGTCATTTTTAACACGGGTAACCCGTCGGTCGGGTCGCGGGGCGGATACTGGACGAACCACAACCGCCCGATACCCATGGTTGACGGGTCACGGGTTACCCGCCACCCGTTGACGGGCCCGAAAACACAACCAGCCTGGGCCCTTATCGGGCGGGCTTCGGGCGGATACCCGCTTTTGGGCCACGGCCTGCCATCCTTACTCCCAACCATAAACAAAATCAGGAGGGAAATTTTATTGGGATCATTTTTGCTACAATAACTTCTGTCTTTCCTTCTCAGTAGTCATTTCCCTCCTGAACCCATCTAGATTTTTGGGCTTCCTCCTCTCCACCGCACTTTCGATCCTCCCTCTTAATACGCTACTCCACCTCCCCAAATTCTTCCATCCTCCAATTCAATTTGCTCCCATATCAGCAAAATGCAAAACCATGGGAGCCATTTGTGCATGCAATGGCCTGAACATGGATCGAGAGGTTGGATGGATGGGTGAGGAAAGCCAGCACAAGATGGAGATCTGACCACCATTTTCGAAGACAGAGTGCCTCACAAGATAGAGCTTATGAGAAGCGACGACCTCAGGCTTCTTTGTCCACATTAAATGTCAGTTCAAAGTTCGACCGAGTAAAGTCGCACGAGTATGGTTGCAGGCACGAACCCAGTCCTGGGCGTAGAGTGAAGGATTGTCAAGCTTAGATTCCATCACCAGGGTCTCAATAGTAGTCCCATGGTTGGAATTTGGAGGCTAAACTGCATCAGTGTAGAGTTTGCAGTAGAAGGAGGCGGCGGCGGACAGTGGCGTAGCCAGGATTTTGGGTAAGGGGGTGCCAATTTATAAAATTAAATGACTATCAATTTTTAATAGTGACCCACGACAAGTTCTCATATTTTGTAAAGTCTGTAAAATAAATTCATCATCCAGACTATCAAGAATGTCACTCTCAATGTATCCTACCAAAAAATCATTCATGATATCATCACTCATTCGACTCCGAATAGTGTTCTTTACGTTGTTATTGCCAGAAATACTCTTTCAACACTTGCGATGGAGACTGATAGCACCAATGCTAACTTCACAAGAAGATACATAGATGGAAATCCTAGATGCTGCTTTGTAGAAACCATCTTACTAAAGTTCCGATTACTGCTTGAATAAGGATACAATTATGAGTTCGTTTAATTTAGTTTACTTATTCTATGTAAACAGTAAATTAATTATATATATACAATAAAATGTATTGGTATATCGTGTAAGTAATTTTGGTTTAATGGAAGATGCCAAAGCTAATAATAAGGGGGTTCTAAGTTCAAATCCTAGCTATAGCATAAACTAATATCCCTATTTTTTTATGTTCTAGTCTCAATCCAAGGGTGTGCCATGGAACACCCTAACTACATGCTATATCCACCACTGGCGACGAAGAAGGTGGCTAGAGTCCGAAGCATAAAAGGAAATTGGTAATAACTCCAAAGTTAAACGTGGCCATTGTGAAGCAATGCATGGATGGCTGACCTCTCGAAAATCACCATGATATGCAATCTAAGCAAAATCCTGCGAGGTAGATATGTACATACGTATTTTAAAATATAAAAGATAAAAATATGGGGCGTGAACTTGGGTTGTCATGAAATATTTAGGGGTGAAATTACCGACAAATAATACTACTTTGGATAATGTCTATTTATTACCCAAACATTTTCCGAATTTTTTTATTTTAACCAATCCTATTGAAATGCTATTAATTAGCCAAGCTTATTGTAAACGATCAAAGTATTGGCTATCGTCCGGTTTCCATTAAGTATTTGTTAACAGTGCTCCATCTCAGCATCAACCTCAACATCCACATCAGCGTCCAATAAATTAAAATAAAAAATAAAAATAAATTCTAAAATACAAAATAAAAACTAAAAAACTCTTCTCCCCCATCTCCTCAACCCCCATCTTCTCCACATTCCACCCTCGCCTCTATCTCTCCTCCCTCCTCTGGCTTTCACCAAACACTGCCACAACGCACACGTTCTCACGCAATCGTACATACCCTAAGAACAACATTCAAAGGAGGCAACATCCGTCAATGCCTTCTCTTCCCCTCCGCCACAATAGCGTCCCTGCCGAAAAAACCCACTCCGAATCTCAACTCAGCACATCCAAAATCCACTCCCTCCGAGGCCACCCAAGCTCCCCCTATCGAAAACATGCATAACCTCATCGGTGCACTCCCAGCCAACCAAATTCCCTTAATTCCTTAATCAATGTAAAGCATGACTCGATGTAAAGTGGCCTGACGATTTTGTGCTGATTCAATTCCAGATCGAAACCTAACCGGCGCTCAAAAGGGGAAGATGGGACGACCTAAGACTCGAAGGTCGTCGGGTTCCAAAGGATCGGGCCGTCCTGCTTTCCATCCCATTAGATTTGGCTGAGAAGGCTGTTACACCATCCGGCGAAGGGATTCACAAGCTTCACGATGAGCTGGGCAACTCCCCAGCAACTGCGTCGGATCTATGGGGAGGGACCCAGTAGGAAGTCCCTGGAACGAAAGAGAGTCAATCAGGTGTGGTGCGACGGACGATGATGGGGTGGATGGTGTTCTCGAGCTTTGTTCTTCTTCTTCGTCACCAGCGTCAATGTCGTTGTCATCCTCGTTGTTGTCTCCTACCTCTTCATCTACCGCGCTACAACAACCAAAGCCAAATCCTCAAGACCCAGATGGTCTTCGAGATGGCCAATGTCCAATTCCGACGGGGTGGGAGATTGGGGCGGGCATTGGAGTTGGACGACAAGGGGAAGGAATTGGGCGAGTGTTAGAGAGAGGGTGAGGGCCACATCAACGCCGCGTCAACGCCAAATCAATAACAAACATAAGAAGAAAATTAACGAATGGTTAAAATTTTATATTTCAATAGGTTTTACTAAAATAAAAGAATTCAATGAAGGTTGGTAATAAGTAGGTGTGAGCAATGGGCGGGTTGGGTGGGTTTTCATTTCAAATTGACCCACCTGCTTAGTAGAGAGTTGGAATAATTGTGATCCGCAATCCAACCACATTCTTTTGCGGGCCGGGTTGGGTGGATGGCGGATGAGTGCGGTTGGGTTGTGGGTTAACCCGCAAAAGCAATTCTCCAACTAACCATTAAGAAAGTTGACTAACATTTATAATAAGTTCATAGTAATTTAGTAATACGGTATCAATTTAAACACTTCTCACTTTGTCTCAAGTGAACCATGTAGTATTTGCATAAAAAAAAATTTACTACTCTATCAACCAATTGTATAGAGAAAACTTACGCATTTTTTTGATTTTGATAAAATTAATAATTTATAGTTTTCATCTCAATATTTAATGGATATTAACAATAATTTGCATTTCAATATCTAATGGATATTACACAACACAATAACCAATAACAGTAGTTAAAACTATTTATATTCTCCACCTTTAGAAGTATATGGTCAGATGCTCAAATTGTAGTGCAGTTCTTAAATATTATGAATATTCGAAACTATAAGAAACAACATTTTTTATGTGAAAATAGGATATTGGTCATTCTGGTGATCCGCAATCCACCCACCCACATTAGTGCGGGTGAGAATTTTATCAATTCGCAATCCACCCGTATCAATCACTTACTGCTTATGGCCTATGGGTCGGATTATTTGCGGGTGGATCGATAACAATTCGCAAATTAACCACCCACACGCCCACCCATGGTGAAAAGTAGAATTACCCTAATATTTTCGATAGAAACAAAGAGACTAATCCGGCCCGGATCCGTATAATGACCCATTCCGATTTCTAACCTTATCTGGAACGGCGCCCTCGCTCTTCTTCTTAACTTCATTTTCCTTCCGACCAAAATTTTCCGGGAAAATCAAATCAAGGATCAGCAGGCAATCAATCATGGCGCTTATGCTCTCTGCACAGACCGGCGCCGTCCTCCATGCTCCTCCTCTCCACAGGCACAAGTCCGGCAGGGTCGCGGCCGCCACATCTCTACCATTTCCGAAGCCTCTTCTCCCGAGACTATCACTCTCCCATCGAATCGACGCCCAAAAGCCCAGGGTTAGGGTTTTGGCTTCGCTATCCACCCAATCCTCGCCAGTCCCCACGCTGCCTTCTCCATCCGATTCCCAATCCGCGCTCACCGGAGCAACTCGGACGGTCACCACAATCGTAACCCTAGCCTTGTCTCTGACGCGCCTATTCGTTAGCAAGCTCGCTCTGTCGGTGCCGGGAATGGCGATCGGCTCAGGCGCGGCGGCTCGGTCCGCCGGCCCTCTCTTCTTCGCAGCGCTCAAGGACCGGCCCAGCGGATATCTCAACACTCCGCTGACTGTGGTGGCGGCGGGTCTGGCGAAGTGGCTCGACATCTACAGCGGCGTGCTGATGGTGAGGGTGTTGCTGAGTTGGTTCCCAAACATTCCGTGGGAGCGGCAGCCATTGTCAGCTATAAGGGACCTGTGCGATCCGTATCTCAACTTGTTCAGGAATATCATCCCTCCAATTTTCGATACCCTGGATGTGAGCCCACTGCTGGCTTTTGCTGTTCTCGGGACGCTTGGGTCTATTCTCAACAGCAGCAGGGGAATGTATTGAAAACGGAGGTTGTGGTCAGAGTAAGAAATGTGGTGCAAATTCAGGTCTTCTTCTTATTTTCGATTTCTGCATTCTCATAGCCTAGCTTTTGGGTTTAACTGCATCGGATAAACCTGCTTTGATTGTACAAGTATCTCAAGTTTGAGTAGAACTATTTTTGGGGATGAATACGAGTGAACTGCTTCAGGGTTTAATCGTATACTATACTATTATATATTCCTATACTTTTTACCTTTGTGTCCAACTTCCTAAGAGATTATACAAAGGTATTCAATGGATATCTTCACCTTTATCTAGAGTGCTATGCAAAGTGTTACTAATTCACTCTGCCTAGTGTTAACAGCTCACATTATTCTCTAGTTTGAAATGATTAGCACCTCTAGAACGCAAATCAATTTGGATGGTATAACCCATGGCAGCATGGCTCCAAAGGGGTGGGTTTCTTGATTTGTGTTCTTCAAACTGTAGTCTTGTTTAAAAGTTCAAAAGGGAACCGGACTGTTTCTTGAACGAAATGAATGACTAAGCTGATTCAATCGATCTGTGTGTGCTTGTCTGCTGTTGCGAAACAGTAAAAAAAAGTTCTTTCCAGGTCATTTGTTAATTCTGCAACTGTATTATACATAAAAATGGTGCTGGTGAAACATGAAAGTTCAAAGAGAACTAAGGAAATCAAACTACAAACATGGTCGGCTTCTTCCTATCCTACCCACGAAGTGAACCATAGCAAAAGTGCACCAACAAAAAAGCCAAGTTCAGATCTTTTATTACTAGGCTGTTTCTTTCCGAAGAAGGAAAGAAGGGTTGGCTGGTTATTGTCGCCATCATCCTTCAACTTGGCTTTTTTCCTGCTGGAGTTACCGCTTCCAGCTGTTTACTTTGATGTGTCCTTGCTAGCATCTGGTTTTCGAGCCCTTCTAGTGTGCTCTATAGCACCCATGCTATAAAAAACAAAAAAAAAAAGGTAACCTGTTGAGGAGGTAAACCCACTAAATGACTAGTCCCACATCATTAATGGCAATCTTGTAAATAATGAATCAATGTATACAAGTGTAGGTACAAATTAGAGTTGTACCATATCGTATAGGTACAAGTTTCAGCTGTACCATTGAAGAATTTGTTTCACAAAGTGTAGGTACAACTTAAAGTTGTACCATTAGTATAGGTACAATTTTGAGTTGTACCATAAAGAGATTTGTTAGAAAGTGTAGGTACAACTTAAAGTTGTACCATGGTATAGGTACAAGTTTGGGTTGTACCATAAAAGAATTTTGAGAAAGTGTAGGTACAACTTAAGGTTGTACCATTAGTATAGGTACAATTTTTAGTTGTACCATAAAGGGATTTGTTAGAAAGTGTAGGTACAACTTAAAGTTGTACCATGGTATAGGTACAAGTTTGGGTTGTACCATAGAAGGATTTTTAGAAAGTGTAGGTACAACTTAAAGTTGTACCATGGTATAGGTACAAGTTTGGGTTGTGCCATAGAAGGATTTTGAGAAAGTGTAGGTACAACTTAAGGTTGTATCATTAGTATAGGTACAATTTTGAGTTGTACCATAAAGAGATTTATTAGAAAGTGTAGGTACAATTTAAAGTTGTACCATTAGTATAGGTACAATTTTGAGTTGTATCATAAAATGATTTGTTAGAAAGTGTAGGTACAACTTAAAGTTGTACCATGGTATAGGTACAAGTTTGGGTTGTACCATAATTTTTTTTTGAGAAAGTGTAGGTACAACTTAAGGTTGTACCATTAGTATAGGTACAATTTTTAGTTGTACCATAAAGGGATTTGTTAGAAAGTGTAGGTACAACTTAAAGTTGTACCATGTTATAGGTACAAGTTTGGGTTGTACCATAGAAGGATTTGGAGAAAGTGTAGGTACAACTTTTAGTTGTACCATTAGTATAGGTACAATTTTGAGTTGTACCATAAAGGGATTTATTAGAAAGTGTAGGTACAACTTAAAGTTGTACCATGGTATAGGTACAAGTTTGGGTTGTACCATAGAAGGATTTTTAGAAAGTGTAGGTACAAATTAAAGTTGTACATGGTATAGGTACAAGTTTGGGTTGTACCATAAAAGAATTTTGAGAAAGTGTAGGTACAACTTAAGGTTGTACCATTAGTATAGGTACAATTTTTAGTTGTACCATAAAGGGATTTGTTAGAAAGTGTAGGTACAACATTAAGTTGTACCATAGTGTATAGGTACAATTGTGAATTGTACCATAGAAGATTTTTAGAAAAGTGTAGGTACAACTTTAAGTTTAGTGTAAAGGTACAACTCTAGAAAGTGTAGGTACATTTTAATTCCACAACCGTTATTTTACCTGAATGAGCTGTGAGAACGTTTGAGTGTCTGCTATGAACATCGGCATCATCACCCAGTTGTTTGGAGAAGGGGAGTCGGAGTGTTCTGTCATCATGCTCTGGACTTATGCCTTGGCTTCTGTCTCCCTCACTCTTTGGTCCACCTGCTTCATGTGGCTAGTCAGCTCTTCTTGATCGCGATGACAACGACGATGATGATAATAGTAATGTAGCAAAAAAAAAAACAATATTGTACCGTATCATACCATATATTTTTTACGCCATCCCCTTCACTGAGTAGGACCAGAGGAAGAAACCAGAGAAAAACGAAAGCAAGATGAGGGGATAGATACATATTAGACTTCCATTACTTCAATTCTTCAATCATTATTATGTTGTATGTGTTATGTGTAGAGTAGATATATATATAGACCTTTATAAATTCATACATTAGTGAAGTATATAATACAAGCATTGTCCCAATTAAATTATTAATACGTCTATCATCTCTATTTTGCCTTCTAGACACTCACCCTAATCACCATTTCAAGTATGCAGAATCTGAATGCTAAGATAAACAACTATAATAAGAGCTTCATTTCCTTTTAGACCCACAAAGGCAAGACATCGAATTAAAACGCGACTCATCTCGACTGGAGCTGCTGCATTTATCATCCATCATTAGCATCATCTAAATACATTAAAAACAAGTTTCTGTATCTCTCAAAAACGAAAAGACAAAAAAAAAAGTGTGTTCGTCCAATCAGTCAATTCCAAAACTCCAATCCCAAATGCAAAAAAAGTGTGTTCATCCAATCTGCCCATGTAATCTTGGTCTTCAACGCACAGAGTCACAGCTTTGGCATCTGCCCCTGGACCGTCAAACTGTAGCGGTCCCGGGTTTCTGTACAGATCATCCAGCAAAAATCTCACTCCATTTTGTCTCAACAACCTGTAACCAACACGGATGTGGAAGCCAAGTTATAATCCTTATTTCCAGGTCTTCAGCTTAATACAGAAACAAGGGGGGTGAAGAGATTTAGTTGGAAACACTCACCCATATGCCTTGCCATTCAAGTCAACAGTAGCTGGATGAATAGCAGGTTTTCCAATTGAAGGTGCACCGGGACTTTGAGCCCATCGATTCACTGTCAACATTGCCTAAAATTTCACAGCTCGTGGAAGTTAGTATGATATACCACCACAAGCATAATAAATACAAGTCTTATGGTGTTGCCAGCTTCAAGCAAAAATCTGATAGCAAGTAAGAAGATGAAAGTAGAAATTTATACTGTGATTGGGGCAGCAGCACAACGCCATTTATTCACAGGGTTCTTAAGGTTAGTAACAGTTGCCATGTAACCATTTAGACCAGCAGCAAGAATATGGTAGCAGATATGGCCAAGAACCTGCAAAAAGACAGTTTTACATGAATAACTGAGTGAATTATTAACTGTACAAACTTAGGAACATGATCAACCCATTGTCGTACATAGGCATAGTCACAGTCAAACTTCGATGGTAAAGATCCACGAGCCTGATAACCAAAAAAGTGGCAGATGGCATTGAATTTCTTCCCCTTGTATGTGCCTTCTTTCTGCAAAGGAAAGAAATGTCATAAAAAGTTAAAATTGTTCAATAACTGCAAAGCACAATGAAAAAGAAGAGTCATGGCCTACATTCCCAATATCACTGGGATAAAATGGATAATGATACATCTGAGTTTCACTTCAGTAAGAGTATGAGTCATCATGCAACAATTAATTACTAATTAAACTGAGCCAACAGCATACCTGGCGCTTGTTCATTTCTACCTCCACAAGATGTGCCAAGAGTTTCTCTGCCTCAATCTAAGAAAAACACAATATTTGAAAATTGAGAAATATATAATTTTGTAGTATACTATTAAGCGAAAACCTCAAACTTAGTACCTGGGACAGCTGAGCAGAGTCATCAGATTCAGGATGAAGAAGCAGCTGCGCAGTTAAAATAAAGTTTTAGATTCATTTTCACACACATTGATTCAGTGAACCATGCCAAATCTTTCAGAGGGATCAACACCTGCTTCTTGATAAATATTGGCAAAAACTCAAACAGAGCATATGCCCATGGTGAAAGTTGAGATGAAATTTTATCAGCAGTAATGCCCTGCCTGAGTAGACCATGTATTTTCTGCAAAAATTCCAGCAGGCACATCCCCCGAATTCCCATCACTCTCCTCCGTCGGAGACCCAGAAATTCCAGCAGGCACATCCCCCGAATTCCCATCATCTCTCACCTCCTCCTCCACAACTCCACCGTCCTCGCCGCCACCGTTGACGTCCTCAATGCTCAGATTAGCAAACGCCTTGGCCTCATCGGAATCACTCCCCTCAGAAAATTTGCTCACCTGGGCGGCATCGGAGCTGTTAGGCCCGAAATCATCGTCGACTAATTTGTCGAAGAAATCCTCGTCGGTTTGATCCTCCATCACTTGGAATGGAGGATTGGAAGCCATAAAAAAAATCAAGCCCCAAAATAAACCTCCACGATCAGCCCAAAAAAAAGATTCCTCCCGCCGCCATCGCTGCCAAATCCGTACTCGATCTCAATCCTCCTGCCATATCCGCCTCCGCCACCGATCTCAGTCCTCCCACCATATCTGGATCCGTACTCAGAACCACCGGCAGGCATGCCCCCGCCGGCCTGAAATCCGTAAGCGGGACCAGATCGGGGCTAGGACGGGAGTAGCTGCTCGAGGTAAGAACCTCGTCGCCGTAGGCAGAGGGCTCCGATCATAATAAAAAAAACGCTCCGATTTTTTGTACGGGATGGTCAAAGAGTAGAGAGACGATGCGAGATCAAAGGAAGAGATTCGCTGCCTCTGGAGTTGGAGTCGGTAACTGCATTTCCGGTGACAGCAAGAATGGATGTCGGCGGTGAGAAGAGGGTCTCAGATCTGCTCGGAGAGGAGAAGGATAAGAGAATGGGGTTCGAACTTTTTTCCACGTACAACCGGTTGTACCGGTTGACCATAAACAAATAAAACAATATATTAATAATCTAAATAAGATCTAATGGCTGATATATTTTGAACATGATCTAATGGCTGTAAACGTTTTATAGCACCAATACTATAAAGCACACTAAAATGCCTCCTGGTTTTCAGCAACGGAGTCATCCAATTCCCGCTTCAGGTCAGACTTCTGTACAATATCTACAACAGGAGCGATACTAGGTTTTATATCCTCGTCTGCCACTTCAGCCGAGGGTGTAATGTCTAACTTGTCTAATTCCTCCTCGGACGCTTGCTGTGCGATCTTCCTTCGACAATCTTCACAAACGCTTTGTTTGGGAAGGAGAGATAAGGGCTGGGGGGTGTAAATGGCAGGGGGAAGTGGGGAACCCGAGGAAGAAGCCCTTGTTTGGATAGTTTGGAACAGTTCTGGGGTGGGCAAACTAGGGGTTTTTTCACTGTTTTAACTCGCCCCCCAAATTGAGGCAGAAGAGGAGAGAGAAAAGGAAAAGCTCAAAGTGGAGAGAGAGAAACACAATTATTTCTGCCGACTCTCTTCCTTCTCCCACTGCAATCTTTCTCCGGCCAGCTCTGCATCCTTCTTCCAAAATAATAAATCAGAAGAAGTGTGTAAATTAGGTTAGAATTCATCCAAACCCAGAAATTAGGTAAGCGCCCTATTGCCAACTCCGATTTGAACCTCCGACAAGAAACCCGTCGTCCCTATTGCCAACTCCGACATAACCCCAGTCCTCCGGTTTGATTTCCACCTCCAACAAGAACACGAATCCTCCGGTTTTTCTTCGTAAAGCATATCTAGATAAATCCCCCACATGCAGATCTGCTCCACTAGCTGCTTACCGGCGTAAAAATCAGCCGCTGCTTTGTGTCCTATATAGGGATGGCAACTTTGCCCATACCCATGGGTTTCTTACTATCCAACCCAATTGGGTTGGGTATGAAATCCAAATAGATGGATATGGGTAGAGTTTGATGGGTTTGTACCCATACCCATTTACTTTGGGTTGAGTTGGGTTTATATCTAATGGATTTGGGTTTGTACCCATGCCCAAATATAAATTAAAGTTTGGTACCCAAACTTAATAGACATGCATATTTAGTACCTAAATTTAATTTTTTTGCATATAAGTCCTCAAAATATCGACGGAAAATTACCTTTTGGTACCTAAATTTTTTGGTCTTACATTTTGGTACCTAAACTTTTGAAGTTTTGCAAATAGGTCCAATTTTTGCATGTGTAGTTAAAACACCCTCAAGTAAATGGATATCCATATCCAACTCATACCCATTTAGATTATGGAAGCCCCAAACCCAAACCCATCTATAAACCCCCAAATCCATATGCACTTCACCCATACCCAACCCATTATCAATGGGTCTACTTGGGTTTGGATATAATTACCCATGGGTGGGTAATTTGCCATCCCTAGTCCTATATCTATGCAGATCGAGGAGAGGGAGGGAGGGAGAGAGAGAGCAGGCGGAGTTGAGTGTGAGAGAAATGGAAAAGAGTTGGAATCTAGAACCAGATGGGAAAGAGAGGATTTGCCGAATTTGGGTGTGGTGGAGGTTGGTTTTAATTTTTAATTGATATATATGAATAACTGTATATAATAATTTATTTAATAATTTTCTATTAATTTATTCATATATAATATTATAATTAATATATCACACACCAAATATATGCACCCTCCTACTTTTTCTCACAAACAACAATTTACGTCTTAATTTGCACCCTCCTTCAATTTGTACCCTTTGATTTGCACTTCAATTTGCACCCCTTGATTTGCACCTCAATTTTGATATGGTGCCTTTCTCCTCTTTTTTCAACTGGATCTGGCTTACACATGCCTTCTGGTTTTGGATCTTCTTCTTCAATCTTCACAAAGAATTTTGATATGGTGCCTTTCTCCTCTTTTTTCAATTGGATCTTCAAATAAACATGCAGTCTTTCATGCTCGCTTAGAACATCAGCAAATGCGCTAGGCTTGACGAATATTGTAGCCGCAAAAGACTCATAATGGAAGGTGGACAGAATTTTGGACGGATGCAGAATTCAGTGATATTAGTGGTATCCGACACCCTATAAAGTCATCCAAACAAAATGAACGGAAGAACCAAACAGAATGAACGGAAGAACTAGAGAGAGTTAAATCAATACACTCACTCTAAAATCTGCAAACTCGCTATTAGTCCCGTTGTCTCCCAGCTTGATGCAAAGTCAACATTTTTGCTCACATTCTTACAGTTGGTTCCAATCTCCATTAGTCACATTACACACATGAAAAAGATACCCCAAAAGTTCCTCTCACATATTCAGACTCAAGTTATCAATCTTTTTTCTTTCCCAAGTTTCTTTTAAAGTTCTTCTTTCAATTTTACTAACTTGAGCAGGTTTGACTTGGTATAATACCTTGTTGTCCTGGATAAGTGTGGACTGTGGAGTGCAGGAGATGTAGCGGCGTCAGTTGATGCAGCTGAGACAGTGGCGGATTCCTGGGCTGCATTTTGAAATTTGAATAGTATCCCAATCGAGGTAATGGTATGCAACTCTGCCAACGGCGGGCACCTCTCACTCGCCGGGGAGAAGTGGGTTATTCTGATTTCCCTGCCGGAAACCTGTATCTCGTCAAAAATACCCTGTTCTTGTTCCTCAAGTTGAAGCTCTTGTTCTCTCCATCCACCACCACTTCTCCTTCCTTCTACTGCGCGTAAATCTGTTCCCCCATCAACTCCTCCCCTCTATAGTCTATACACCACCATCGATTTCGCCCTCATATCTTCGCAAACAAAATCGGTCCGGGGGGATTTCGATTTCTTTCATTTTAAGCCTAGGTTTTCAATGGAGACTTATTTCCTTTTTTCAAGCGTCAAATCTAAAAGTCAATGAATCGGAAACCCAAATCTCATCGGCTCAAGATAGGTGCATCGATCAATAACTAAATCTGGACCCTTCGTTCAAAAAATTCAGATCTAAGGATGGAGAATTAATGATTATTTTTATTTTTTCTTGTTTTCTTAATCGGCCTATATCTTCTTCGTTTTAAATTAGATTTCAAAAAATTTTGCACAGATGGAACGAGTTCGTTGTGCTCTACAAAACGAGATCCATTTTCAATATTTTTTTAGAAAAAATAAATATTGCCTCTCGGTATCAACTGCATACTATATGGTATATTCTTCATTTTTAATTCATTTTTGAAAACATTTGCACAGAAGAAATGAGTTCATCATGATCTATTGGATCTACAAATTTCTAGGTGAACCATGGTAAAGGAAACCGTACCGGACATCATACCGGATTCCTTTCTGGTAGGGTATTTTGTGGTACGACCGTGGTTCAACCTTTTCATACCGGTAAATACCGTTTTTGTAATAATAAAATATATTTTCTGTCAAAAAACCGTGCCGCCAAAATCATAGTATCGTCTCGGAGTAATACCAGGTATATCGGAATATACCGGACAATATATACAACCAATTAGCAAATTAATAGAAAATTTTAAAAATAATTTTTTTTTGAAACTTCCCCATGACTCTTCTCCTCCGCGTGCAGCTTTTCTCAATCTTCTCATCTTCCATTCTTCCTCTTCTCTCTCTCTCTCTGACACCCAAACAAAAATCAATCAGCTTTTCCCCATCTTTTCAGTTCTCATCTTCCATTCTCTCTCTCTCTCTCTCTCTCTCAAACAAAAATCAATCAGCTTTCCCCATCTTTTCTGTTCTCATCTTCCATTCTTCCTCCTCTCTCTCTCTCTCTCTCTCAAACAAAAATCAATCAGACTAACGAGCAACAACGAACGGGCTGGAGACTGGAGAGCCATCTTGAATGGCCGGACGGAGAAGGCAGATTTTGAATGGCCGGACGGTGACAGAATTGGAGAAGGAAGAAGAGGGCATCGGTGGCCTAGGGAAGCAGTCGTTGTAGCTGGATGTCCGGAACCACCGTCGCAGCTAGGGATGGCAATGGGGCGGGTTTGGGGCGGGTTTGCCTAAACCATCCCCATCCCCATCTTCAAACACCCAAACCCATACCCGCCCCATACCCATGCGGGGGAATGTTTTGGAAACCCATCCCCATACCCATGGGTTTCGGGTACCCATGGGTAATACCCATCCCCGTACATCCAACATTATTATACCTAAAACTTACAAGAAAAGTTTTAATTATAACCATAAATAAACCTATATATCATGAAGTCAACAAAACACGATCATTTTCTAAATACGATTCAAAGAATATGATCCTAAAACATCCATTAATACATAATATAGACTATAATATTTTTAAATTATTATGCTCTAACTCTTGATACATTTACTAAGTAATAATTAACTAACATAATCTTGTTGACAAGGGGGAAAGTGAAAGAGTGGAAGGAGAATTGAGGGAAATCAATTAGGTTTTGTTTAAGGTGGTTACTCAATTGCATTTCTACTATTTATTTTCTCGAGTTATCATCATCATCATTGATAGATTACAATTTAATCCACATATTTTTTGATATGTGAAGAAATTCTCTTGGTGGGGCGGGTATGGGTATGGGTATGGGGCGGGGGAGGCTATACCCATACCCGCCCCATACCCGGTCAAAGCGGGGATTCCCCGCGTTGACTGGGTCGGGGGCGGTCAAGTACCCGCGGCCATGGGTTTGATTGCCATCCCTAGTCGCAGCCCGCATGCAACCGGCGACAAGGACAGGGTCGGCACGGGGCAGAGGCAGGGTCGGCGCGGCAGAGATAGAGGGTCGGCGCGGCGGAGAGGGAGGCTTGGGCGGCGGCAGGCTCGTCGGTCGCCCAGTCGCCGGTCTGATTTAAACCGGGCGGTATACTGGTTTATGCCGGTTAAGCCGATTAAACTGGCCGACACGGTAGGAAGGAGGCTGGTAGAGTATCGTTTCGCCACTGGTCGGATTCCCGGTTTTACCGGTTGAACCGGCCGGTACGATTCGGTTTTCTTTACCATGAGGTGAACAAATTACAGGACCAAAAAATACCACACAATACCACAAAATATCACCCTGGTACTGGGTGGTATCTTGTGGTACACAATGTCA